GCAGGCCCACGGGGCTGATGTCCCCCTCCAGTGGGTACTCCAGTCAGTCGGAGACCCCAACCCCCACCGTACCCACCTCCACCATCCTCGGGCACTCCCCGCACCAGGTGCGTGTGAGGCCACTGGTCCCTGAGAGGAAATCCTCTCTGCCCCCCATATCCCCCATGGAGAGAAGCCCCAAGGGCAGGCTGTCCTTTGACCTCCCACTGACTCCACCCGCCCACCTCGACCTCTCAGGGCTGAAGATCTCCCTGAAGGGGAAGACAAAGGTCAGCCGGCACCACTCTGACTCCACCTTTGGCACCAAGCTGGCCCAGAAGACGAGTCCCATCACACCCATCATGCCCGTGGTGACACAGTCCGACCTGCGCTCTGTCCGCCTCCGCTCCATCAGCCGCTCAGAGCCGGAGGACAGCGCTGATGGCCCAGAGCACACAGAGGAACCAGCACATGTCCCCTGCCCAGGGCCGGAGAGGAAAGTGAAGCCACCTGTGGCAGAGAAGCCACCACTGGCCAGGCGCCCCCCCTGCATCCTGCCCAAGCCCCCAGTTCTGCGGGAGGAGGGTCCCCTGTCCCCCAAATCCCCACCAGGCACTACTGCCAAGGAGAAGGGGCTGGCACAGGACGCCTTCGTGGTGCTGCGGAGAGGGGAGCTGAGGAGGGGTCTGGGGGAGCCCCACTTGTCTCTGAGCCCAGCGGGGCCCCGGCGGCTCTCGCAGGGCAGCCTGGACGAGCTGCGGCCGGAGCGGAGCAGTGCCGAGGGGGAGCGCAGGAAGGCCAAGGTGCCCCCGCCTGTGCCCAAAAAGCCCAGCGTGCTGTACCTGCCGCTCATCCCAGCCCCAGCACAGCTGGGAGCTGCTGTGGGGGACCTGCCACCCACCCCCAGCCCCATCATCACCCTGGACACTGACCCCACCTGCTGCGACCCTGATGCTGAGGATCTGCCGTCCCCCGAGGCTGTGGGCACCACGCCTGCCAGCGAGCCTGCCAGTGAGCCTGCCTCAGAGCAAGGTCAGGGTCTCTCCACCCCTGTGGTGGGATCCCCCCAGGGATAGGGGTTCCCCATGCTGTGCAGGGGATTCACTGCTGTCTTCTCCCTGCCCGCAGGCAGCTCCACAGAAGCCGGCACGGAGGAGAAGAGCTTTGCCAGCGACAAGACAGCCGAGTCCATCGTGGAGGAGGACGATGAGGTGTTCACAACGTCCCGCACTACGGAGGATCTCTTCACAGTGATCCACAGGTAAGGCTGGTGCATGCACTGGAGGGGACAGCCCCTGCACCCACTGTCACAACTCTGAGTGTAGTGTCCCTCCATTTTCCATACTGGGGCCAATGTTTTTCCTTGGGGACAGCCTGGTTGCTGCTACCTTGAGCAGAGTGCAACCAGCAGGGAGGGTCCAGATTAGTCCTACTGGCCAGGAGCACCACCTGCCATGCTCATTTGTCACCTTGCCCCAGCAGAGCAGGCTGGGCACTACCATGCCCCTCACTCTGGGACCTCACCCCAGCCCCAGACTGCTCCTACCTGTGTCCCTTTGGTGCCTAGGTCGAAGAGGAAGGTCTTGGGGCGAAAAGAGCCTGGTGACACCTTCAGCAGCCGACCCACCTCCCACTCACCTGTAAAGACTTCAGGCTCCCCAGCTGGCGAGTCTCTGGCAGCAGCAGGCAGCAGTGGGAAGTCTTCCAGCAGGAATGAGGATTTTAAAGCCCTGCTCCAGAAGAAGAGCAGCAAAACAAGCCCCGGTACTCGGCCATCTGCCGCTGAACTGCTCAAGACCACGAACCCGCTGGCCCGGAGGGTCATCACAGAGTTTGCCCCTGAGCTGGATGGTGCAAACAGCCCCAAAAGCCAGCCCTGACCACACAGGGGCCCCTCCAGCCGGAGGGGTGGCGATGGCTGCAGAGGGAGCACTGCTGCAAAGGGCTGTCCTGGCTGCTGGGGAACCCCTGTATCCTGCTGGGGGGTTCTTCTGCTTTTGTTCCTTACTTGGAGAGCTGCTGGCAGAGAAGCAGTGGCTGGAGCCCGAGCTCCCATGACTCTGGGCCCTTCCCACAAGGGAAGTGGCTGGAACTGTCCCTGGCTGAGCCAGCTCCTGGGATTGAAGGCACCTTCCCAGGAAGCAGAACAGGATCACAGCCCCTGGTGTTGCCCCGTGCCCACAGCAAAGCAGTTTGAGACTCTTTGGTCCCTTCGGCATGTGGTACTTTAAACAGATTTTCCAATGCACAGTGGTGGTGATGTTTGATTCTCTTCCCTTTGACATTGTACCTTGAGTTTCCCATGCAGAGATCCCCTGGTTGAATTCAGCTGGACACACAGATGCACTTTGGGAAGACACCAGGGGTTCGGCTGGATCTGCGGTTGCTTTTGAAGAGTCACAGGAGGTTCCCTGTCATTGCCCTGAGCATCCTCCCTGTCACACAGGGAACTGGCACCCGGCGTCCGCAGCCAGCGCCACCACCTCAAGCCAAACCCCCACCCCTTGAAAGCCCCCAAAATGCTGCATTTTGGAGCTCCTCAGCTCTCAGTCCAAAAACAAACCCTGGGGTCACCTCCACTGCCAGTCCCCCTGGCCTCACTGCACAGGGGGTCTGGCAGCCACCCCAGCCCCTGCCAGCCCCCACGCCGGGGGTCCTGCACCCAGCTGCCAACTGGGGCAATGAGGGGGCTGTGCCATGGGAAGGAAGCTTGTCCCCAGCTCTGCCTCCTGCGTCTCCACAACAGACCCTGCGACAACTTCTGCTGCCCTGGCCACCGGAGGTCCTGAGATGCTACCAAGATGGTGGCTGGAATCCAGATGGACATCACCTGAGCCACCTCCCTGGTGATTCCTGGGTCCCCCCAGGGTTGCCCACCACTCACCTGTGCCCAGTGGCCACCAGGGAGCTGAGCAAGGCCGAGTGGGACACATGCCATCAGGGTATGTGCGCAGGGCCATGGAAGAGGGTTTGCACGTCCCTGGATGGGATTTGTCCCCCTCACCCCCAGCTGCCTCTGCCTGGCCTGGCTCCAGCATGGGGGCCCAGCAGCCAGTAACAGAGGCTGTGGTGTGGGGCTCGGGGCAGGGCGGGGAGGAAACATGAGCTCCAAGCAGGAGGATAGCCGCACACCCAGACAAACAGGAAGGGCCAGCCACGGCTGACAAGGAAACAGGGTGTTTAGGGAAATTTCTGCCTGATTTCTTGATGTATTTCCACACACTCCAGCCTCCTGTGCTGGGGGGATCAGTACAGTGGGTACAGGCAGCAGCAGGGCACCACAGCAGTGCTTCAGCTGCCCCTCTGAGGAGCCTGTGCTGCTCTAGGGGGTCTCTGCCCCACCAGGAGCTCTGCATCCCTGGGCAGCACAGTCCGGGCAAACACTTCCCCATCCTTGCCACTGCCCTGGATCTTATCCCACTGAGGCTCCAGTTGGTTCCCCTCTCCTCCCTCCTGGTATTCGCCCATCTCTCTCTTTCCTCTCCCAGGGCTGCAGATTTAAGCCTGTAATTAAGAGCCAGGCTGAGAAACTCAGGAAAAAACCCACTAAAAAAGCTCTAATGAATGTCCACATTTCAATCCCATCCCGTGGCCCCAGCCAGTGGCAGGGTGCTGGCTTGGGATGGGGCCAGGGCACAGCTTGGGAAGCTCTGGGGACAGGTACATTTTGCACATGACTGCTCAGGAAACCAGGGACAGAGTCGGCAAAGTGGGCTGGGGGCAAGCACAGGGCAGGGACCTCCCTGCAACACCCCCAGCACCACTGGCAGCTGGAGTGGCCAGTGCTGCTGGGTGAAATATCCAAGCGGGCCAGAGGTCAACTGTGGGACAGAGATTTGCTATGGGATGGAGATCGGCTGTGTGATGGAGATTGGCCATGGGTTGGAGATCCTAATTTCCCTGGTCAGAGGAACATGTTCTTCCTGGGGCTCTTCCTGGCTGAGTGCTCGTCTCTGGCCGCTCACTCCCTGCTCCCTCTCGCTGTGGCTATTCCGCTGGGAAGGCAGTGGGTTCCCGGGAAGAGTCCGGCTGGCAGGACAGCCCTGCCCCGAGGTGGGGGCCGCCAAGGTGCCAACTACGGAATGTTGTACTTTTTATCTCGCCAGCTTGGTAAAGTGCTCCCTGCTGCCCGCCTGTGCCTGTGCTTCTTTGGGCTGGCGGGGCTGGGGAGGTGGGCACCCCTGACACCCCTGGGTGACTGGAGGGGAACCGGTCCCCTTAGCTGGGGCCTTTTACAGCGTCCGGTGTCCCCAGCGGCTCCGGGGCGGGGGGCGCAGGGACACCGCGAGGTGTCAGGGACAGCCCAGGCCGGGCACTGCGGACACGCCGCAGCGGGGCCGGGGATGGGGTGAGGGGCTGCGGATGGACGTGGCGTCCCGGGAGCAGGCGGGATGGATGAGAGGGACCGAGCAGCCGGGGGTCTGCTGGGGCCAGCCCCGTGCTGGGGAGAGCCCCGGGCCCTGGGTGCAGACCGGGGGGAGGACTGGAAGTGGGGAAGCGTGGGCTGGGGCTGGGCTTGGAATGCTGGCTGCGGTGGGATGGATGAGGCCGGCAGCCCCGAGTGCCGGGGACAGCCCCGAGTGCCGGGGACAGCCCTGAATCGGGGGACAGCCCCGAGTGCCGGGGACAGCCCCGAGTGCCGGGGACAGCCCTGAGTGCCGGGGTCAGCCCCTTGGGCGGGCACTGGGTACGGCCGTGGATGCCGAACGCAGCCCTGTGTGACGGGTGGCTCCAACCCCGTCCGAGCGTGCACAACCCCATGTCCCGCAGCCCCGAGTCCATCAGCCCCGTGTCCCGCAGCCCCGAGTCCATCAGCCCCGTGTCCGTCACCCCGTGTCCCGCGGCCCCGTGTCCGTCACCCCGTGTCCATCACCCCGTGTCCGTCACCCCGTGTCCCGCGGCCCAGCCCCGTGTCCATCAGCGGCTCCGTGCCGGCACAGCGCGGGCAGCCGGCGGCCCCGGGGCGGGGCAGGGGCGGTCCCGCCCGCCGGGGAGCGGGCAGCGCGGGGCCTCACCGCGGCAAGATGGCGCCCAAAGGGAAAGGCGGCGGCAAAGCCGGCAAGGGTGAGCGGGGCTGGGCGGCGCCGGGACCGGCCGGGAGGGGGCTCGGGGACGGCACCGGGACCGGCCGGGAAGGGGGCTCGGGGTCCGCACCGGGACCGGCCGGGAAGGGGCTCGGGGACGGCACCGGGACCGGCCGGGAAGGGGCCCGGGGGCGGTGGGGAGCGGGCCGGTGTCAGGGTGCTCGGTTCACAGGTGGTGGCGACGGCGGCAGCAGCAGCGAGGGCAAAGCACAGGGCCCGAAGGGAGGCGGCAGCGCCGTGAAGGTGAGCGCGGGGGGCGGCGGGGAGCGGCGGGGAGCGGGCGGGTGCGGGTTCTCGGCCCCGGCACCTGCCGGCTCGTCCCGCCCGCCGGCCCCGCTCGCCACAGCCCCGCTGCCCGCCCCTCCAGGTTCGGCACATCCTGTGCGAGAAGCACGGCCGCGCCATGGAGGCCATGGAGAAGCTGAAGTCCGGACAACGCTTTAGCGAGGTGGCGGCGCAGTACAGCGAGGACAAGGCCAGGCAAGGGGTGAGTGAGTGCTGCACCCGGGACCGGGCAGCGGCTGCGGGAGCCTGGATCCTGCTCGAGGCTGGCCCACGGCCTCATCACCCACCCTCCCTGCTCTGAGTCTCAGAGCTTAACCCTGCGGTCCCTTGCTGCAGGGAGACCTGGGCTGGATGACCAGAGGCTCCATGGTGGGACCATTCCAGGAGGCAGCATTTGCCCTGCCTGTGAGCAGCATGGACAAGCCCGTGTACACGGACCCTCCCGTCAAGACCAAGTTTGGATACCACATTATCATGGTGGAAGGCAGAAAATAAAATGTGAATGACTACGATGACCTTGTTGACTGCTTGAATCCTGAGTCCCAGACACCTTGGCCTTGGAGCAAGTTGGGCACATCTAGCAACGTGCCTGGAGGCAGCTGGCTGTCCCTCTCACTGTGCTAGCAGAGCAGGGCCCTGCTTGGAGAGGTAAAATGTCCCTGGGAGGGGTAAAACAAGAGCAGATGTTGAAGTTTCTGTTGCCTGGCAGGCCAGCCTCTTGCTTCTTCACGTTATCTGTGGAGGTAATGGCCTGTCAGCGGAATGAGGTGCCCAGGTTTTTATCTGCAAACAGAAGCAATGCAGAACGGGACTGAGGGGGCCCCAGGGCTTGGTCTCCATCTCCATCTTCCCCAGGAGGATGCAGACAGCTCCCATGGTGCAGTCTGTGCTCCAGGGCTGCAGGACAGTCCCTTCAGTGGCGGGTGGGTAACACTGGAGCTGGGTCAGGCCAGGCAGGGAAGGGAGCGGGGGGCAGGAGGGGGGGAAGAGCTCTCCTGAGCACAGACTCATCTCTTCCTACAGCTCCACCTTGCCCACTCAGAGATGGGGGAAGAAACTGGATAACTCAGGTCTGAATAAGAAAAAAAGCCACTAAATGCTTGTGTGCCACCTCCTGCACTCCGTTGTTCTCTGGGGAGTGCAAGGGAAGCAGCCCAGCAAGATTCCTGCCATCTCAGGAATCCAGCCCAGAGCCATGATCCCCTTGCTGCCCACAGAACCCCCGAACGAGCCACAGCTCCAGCAACAGGCACCAGCTTTGTTTACAGGTGAGCACCACAAACAGAGCTCAGAGATGTGGAGGAAACATCAAAGAAGAAAAGGTCCATCTCTTCCCTCCCTTTTCAGGGTGTTGGTTTTGCTGAGTGTGGAACACTCAGAGAAGCCAATGAACGGCCTGCAATGGAGGGCAGACAGACTGCCCAGAGCAGGCACTGCCCCATGGAATGGTGCTCTGTTAATAAACCACTTGTTTCCAGGCTACCAGAGCTCTGTTCTTTCTTTTGGCAAAAACACATTGACACAACTGCACCAGCAGAATTTGCCATGTTTACTGTGGTTCCAAATACAAAGAGCTCCTCTCCCAGACTGCACAGCTCAGCCAGGCGTGGCGTTGCAGAAGGCAATGCCATGGCATAAGGAAACATCCATATCTGCTGCTGTGCTGTCACCAGGTGAGACTGGCAGGAGTCAGTCCCAGTGACAAGCACACCAGACTGAGGCTGTGTTGGTGAGGGGCAGTTACTCAAAGCCAGAACCAGGAGCTTTTGAGCTGCTGGTTTGTGGGATTGAGGCACTCTCAGCCAGGTTGCTGGCAACACTGAGCTGTGTGGTGTGGTCACACACTGGAAAGGAAGGATGGATGCAGAGGGACCTGGACAGGCTGGAGAGGTGGGACCATGTGAAAAGTACAAGGTTCTACACCTGGGTCAGGGCATTCTCAGGCACAGATGCAGAAGGAGCAGAGAAGGGATTGGAGGTGATGGTTAATGAAAAACTCATGAAAAACCATGATCCAGCAGTGAGCATTCCCAGCCCAGAAACCCCCTATGTTGTGGGCTGCATCCAAAGGAACACAGGCAGCAGGTGAGGGGGAGGATTCTCTCCCACTACTCTGCACTCCCAAGATCCTGCTTAGAGTCCTTGCACACAGTTCTGGGGCCTCCAGCATGAGGACATGGAACTGTTGGAGCAAGTCCAGAAGAGGCCATGAAGTTGGTAAGAAGCACCCATATGAAGAAAGGCTGAGAGTTGAGGCTTTTGAGCCTGTTCAGCCTGGGGAAGGTTGTGTGGACACCTCATGGCACATTTCAGTATCTGAAGGGGCCTACAAGGGAGCCAGAGAGGAACTCTGTCCAGAACTGGAATGACAGGATAGACTAATGGATTCAGGCTGACAGAGGGCAGGGTTAGAAGGGATATTGGGAAGAAATTCTTTCTTGTGAGGGTGATAAAACACTTGCACAGGTTGCCCAGTGAAGCTGTGGCCGTCCCATCCATGGATGTGTTTCAAGGCCAGGCTTGGAACAACCTGGTCTAGTGGAAGGAGTCTGTGCTTGTGGCAGGGGTTGGATCTGGAAGGACTGTAACGCACCCACATGGCAGGTGACCTTCAGGTGCCCAAAATAGCTTGTTTTAAACCCAAAAGGAGGGAATAACCACAGCACCACAGAGCTGGGCTGTACAGCAGCCATGGGACTGTACTGTCCCCATCTTCTCAGGGGAAAGAAGTGGCAAAACCTGGAGGGTAGAAAGGTGAATCCAGGGCTGCCAGCATGGAGAGGGGCTTAGACATCAACAATACCATTCTTTTATTGAATAATTAGACAGGAACATGAACCATTTTCACCCTTGTGAGTTGACTCCACAGTGACGTTCCCTCCCCAGGATCCAACACCTGGATGTTTGGGCTGTTTGCTCAAGCAGGAAGTGCTGAATTTGCTCAGTCCCATGAGTATAGGGCAGGCATCAGCCCGGAGCTGGCTCAGGGATCCCAGGGCCATGGTGCAGACCCACAAGGAACAGCCAGACTTTCTTCACAGAGCCACATACCTGTCACTTCTGGGCCAGCTGTCGGTACAAGTTCAGAGTCAGCAGCATAACTTCAGGATCTCCACTTTTTATGTCAAGAGCTTGCAGGAAGCAGTCCAAAGCCTCCTGGAGTTTTCCATCATTCTGAAGTTTCTTCCCACTCTGTACCAAAGTGTCATAATCTGCAGCAGGAGAGGAGCTCTGCCCAATGTCCTTTTCAGAGCTGCTTTCCTGGGTGAAGTAGTCAATCTGGTCGCCTGACTGGAGCTCAGCATCACCTGTGGATTCCTCCTGCGATGACTCTGTCTCCTCTGCCTCAGACTGCTCAGATTCCACGCTGTCTGTGTGGGAGGACTCTTCACTTGTATCAAGTGTTTCTCCATCAGGTTCTTCTTCAGGCTCAGCAGATTCCCCAGTGCACTCCTCAGCTTCATCTTCCACAAGTCCATCTTGCTCCTCCTCCTCATCATCATCATCTTTTTCATCAGTGGTTCCCATGATTTCCCCAATATCCTCCACCTCATCCACCAACCTGCTGATGAATGAGCGCCTGGAAGCATTAGACCTGTTTCCACTGTTATGTAACTGGGGAGAAAAGATGGCTTTAGCTCTTGTGTCGTATTTAGGGGTGGAAGCACTAATTCCTTCCAGATGTCCATGCTGAATGCTGTCCAAGGGAGAGGAGGGCACTTGTTCAGGCTGCTCTTCGCTCTCACTGTCTGAAGAAATTCTGTTTAAGCGTTTCTTCCTACCAAAAGTAAAGAGACCACTGCTTTCCTCCAATGATTTACTCTCTTGCAGGGAGGCACTTGGCTCTTCCTCAGCTGTGGGACAGGGTTTGCCATGGCTACTAGTCTCACTTGGCCAAGTTTTGTTTGGAGATTCTTTGTCTGGAGATTTACACAAGCTTTCTGCCTGGAGTTGTAAGCTCTCCTTCTCAGGGTGTTCCACCGATCCTCCTCTATTTGAGGCATCCTGCCATTCTTCTTCAGACTCTTCCAAAACCAGATTGAAGTCAACTTGATCCTGGAAAGAAGGAGCAGATGTAGCCTCCGAGCTGTCTTCTAACACATGAGACTTGTAGAGCTCAGCATTGATTTCTGGTGTAGCATTTTTTAAACTCAGCAGTGCAGAAGCCGGCTCAGGATCATTGTTCTGCTCTATCCCCAGGGCAGTGTGTGGGTCAAGTATCTGAACTGACAATTCTGCCTCACTTCTAGGATCAGCCATGCCAGACTCAGAGGAATTGTGACAATGCCAAGACAGGTCATTCCTTGTCTTGGCTGAGCTATCTGAATGTACCTGCGAATGTTGTTTCTCTTGGAGGCCCTGACTCTCTTTCTCGAGTGCAGGGGATGATGGTGTAATGTTAGATTCAGGATTTTGCTCAGATTCTTGTTCTGCTTGTTCTTGTTCAGATTGTTCTGCTGTCTTGCTGGTATTGAGCACTCCTGTCTCCATACTGGACACACCTTGTGCCAGTTGCTCTTCATCCAAGTCCTCAACAGTCAGAGTTGCCATTCTGGAGCTGACATTGAGCACCTGGGCTTCTTCATCCTCTGTAAGATCAATAATTTTGTCTTTTTCATGTGCATCAGCTACTGGTGGTGAAACAAAATTATTTTTGTCGTTCAACCCTGGAGACAACTTCTTTGGCCTGGAAACTGATCCAAATGGTCTTTGCCACGACTCTTCACAAGCATTTCTGATCCCCTCCATCCTCTGATCTCTGAGCTGGGACTCCAGCTGGACCAGCTCATGGGCTTTCTGTACCCTCCGCTGGATGTACTGATGGGCTTCCTCGCTCTCCACCTGCTCCTCATGAGCCATCTCCCTTGTGTAGATCAGGTCATGGTCAGAAATGCCAAACATTGCCAGGGAATGCAGGTAAGCAAGATGCTCATCCAGCTGCAGGTCAGACTTCCTTTGCATGGCGTGCAGGGACTGCAGCTGGATCTGAGTTGCAGATGTCCGAGTATCTTCCAATATGAAGAGCTCCCTTAGTTCCTGTTTGGAGAAATAACGGAACGGGTTCTTTTTGTCACCAGTGGTCTGTCTGATTAACGAGTCCTTGAATACCTGCCGCCTGTATATCTTCTCTTCCACGGTGCCGCAGGTGATCAGTCTGTAAATCACCACGTTCTCTTTTTGCCCAATTCTGTAAGCTCTGTCCACAGCCTGAGCATCAGTTGCTGGATTCCAGCTGGGATCAAAGATCACCACTCGGCTGGCTGCTGTCAAGGTTATGCCAACGCCCCCAACCTGTGTGGTGAGCAGGAAGACAGAGTAGGTGGTGTTGCTCTGGAAGGCGTTGATGCGCCTCTCCCGCTCCGTCAGGTGGGTCACCGTGCCGTCAATGCGCAGGATCTGGAATTGTCGGCGAGACAGGACAAGCTCTATGATATCCAGCATCTTCCTCGACTGTGAGAACACCAGGGTTCGGTGTCCCTCTTCTCTCAGCCGTTCCAGCAGTCCCACAAGGAACTGCATCTTCCCAGACTCCTCGATCACAGTCTCATCAGAGAGATGATCTATTTTGTTCTTGCCTGAAAACATAATTGCTTCCATCCTGTAATCCTGCTCGGAGTCCTCCTCTTCTTCCAAGCCCAGCTGGGTACAGGCTCTCGTAGACAGAAGCCTGGGGTGGTCACAGAGTTTCTTCAGGATTGTCAGCTCAGCCAAAGGTGATCGGTTCATCATCAGTACTTCCTTCACATGATCCAGGCAGAGAAAGTTCCTGTAGATTTCTTCCTGCACCGGTGCCAGATACACCCACACAACAAAGTCATTTTTCCTAGTGAGAGATGGCATGACAGGAGCCTTGTTCTCACTTGGATCCTCAGAAAGAGGAGAATCAGCTTTATCAGCATGATACTTTTTGATGTCTTCCTTGGTCCTTCTGAGGAAATAGGGCTTTATAATTGACATGAGATTCTCTGATATCTTTAGCCCCAGTGCTTTCTCACCTGGAGTCGCATCCTTCTCCCTCGCCCTGGTAATGGGATTCTCATACTCCATTTTAAAAGTTTTGGCAGTTCCCAGGAGGGAGCCTTGACAGGCAAAGTCAAACAAGGACCACATTTCCCGCAGGTTGTTCTGCACAGGGGTGCCTGTAAGCAGGATGCGGTAGTGGGCCGGGATTGCATACACACACTTGGTTGTCTTGTTTGACGGGCACTTGATCTTATGTGCTTCGTCAAGAATAATGTAGTCCCAGACAAACTCCTGCTCATGACGGCTGGCCAGCTGCTTCCAATTGTTAATGAGCATCTGGTAGCTCGTGATGACGATGCCATTCTTCCTCTGGACCCTCTCCAAGTTCCTGGTGCGCTCTGTCTTGCTGGTGCCGTGGAACTCCTTGACGCGTAGGCCGGGGGTCCAGCGAGCGAACTCAGCCAGCCAGCTGCTGACCAGGGTGGTGGGCATGATGAGCAGGACATGCTGGATGAGCTCAGCATCGAACATACCCGAGAGGAAGGCGATCACCTGGATGGTCTTGCCCAGGCCCATGTCATCTGCCAGGATGCCACCAGGCTTGCGCTCCCGGTGCAGGCGGTACAGGAAGGCAACACCTTCCCGCTGGTGCTGGAACAGCTTCCTGTGCATCTCCCCGTAGATCAGCAGGCCGCTGCCGCACACGTCCACGAAGCCTTCATCATCATCATCCTCCTCCTCCTGCTGCTGCTGCTCGGCCGCCGCCAGTACCTCCTGCACCCGCTGCATGCGGCTCTGCAGCTTCTCGCTGGGGCGGATGGCAGCCGCCAGCCGGAACAGCCGCAGCGCCTCTTCAAGGTCCCCGTCGGCCGCCGCCGCCTTCGCGCTGGCCACGAGCCTGTGGGAGTCACCGTGAGCACCGGGCGGCCAGGCCCGGGCTGCACCCAGGAGCGCCGGCCCGGCCCGGGCTGCACCCAGGAGCGCCGGCCCGGCCCGGCCCGGCCCGCCAACCCCAGCCCCAGCCCGCCCGGCCGCTCAGCCCCGTCCCCGCTCACCCCCGGTACCGCTCCTCTTCTTCTGCCGCCGCCGCCGCCTCTCCCGGCCCAGGAGCGGCCATGGCGCCAGCGCTGCCGCCCTCCGCTTCAAACCCGGCCCTTCCCGGCCTGCCCCGCGCCACATGTAAATCACCAGCGCTGTCAGCCAATCAACGCCGGGGGCGGGAGCAAAGGGGCGGGGTCGAGCGCTACCCGCACCTCCTCGCGGGTTGGGGCAAACACCGGGACGGGCCCGGTCCCGGCCGGTCCCTTTCCCGCCGCGCGGTGGGAAGCGAAGTGCGGGACATCCAGGGGGAACCCGGCAGATCCACAAGTCCGCCCGCTCCCGGTGCACTCTCGGTTGCTGCCGCGCAATCGCCGCACGTCAGGGGCGCGGGCGGCGAGGACCTCCCGCCAGCAGGGGGCGCGGCGGCGGCGGGCGGTGCAGCTCCGCGGCCGTGGCCAGCGCGGAGCCGGCGGAGAGCGAGCGCTGCCATGGAGGCGCGCGCCGCGGGCCGCGGCCTGCTCGTATCCACCGCGCGCGGCGGGCCGGGCGGGCGGGGGGCCGCGGTGGGGCGGGGCAGGCCGGTCACCGGAGGTTTTCTTAACTGCGGCCAAGAGCGTTGCTGGTGCGGAGGTGCGGGCCGGGCGGCGGGAGCCGTGCGTGCTCGGCCTGGAGCGGCGGGCCGGCCGCTACGGGTGAGTGAGTGAGTGAGGGAGTGCGGCGCGGAGGGGCCCGGCTCGCCTCGCCTCGCTCGGTGCCGCCGCGGCGGGGCTGGGCACGGCTCGGTTCCGCGCCCAGCTGCCACAGCCGTGACTCTCGGCATCCCTGCGTGCTCCCCCGGCCGGCTCCCCTCACCGGAGGTGCCTTCCCAGCTCCCCGATGCTCCTCCGGTAACCAGAGCCGCTGCCAGCCCGGTGTTGGACCTGCCCCGTGGCCCGGAGAGTTCAACAGCTCTTACTTCTCCCCCGGGGTATCCGCGTCCTGCACGGGCTCACCTTCGTTGCCTTTTTCAATTCCTGCCCCAGAAGCTTAGCGATAAAAATCAAACGTTGTGTCTCTGTACACACAGCTCCTGTTTGTGTGCGTTCCTGCCGGGTTTTTACAAGCCTTCCTTCTGTCTGCAGGGTGGTTATTCGCTCCCAGGAGAAAGAAAACTCTGATCCGGATTATATTCCCATCAACAGCCGTTTTAAGTGTGTGCAAGGTACTGACTGCTGGGGGGAAGGTCGAGAATCCCCTGCTGTTCATCCACAAACCTTAAATTTAATGGTATTTCCTGCCCTGTCTCCTGAGCCACCGCAGATTGAATCCTTTCCCTCTGAAGCAGCAAGTCACATTTTATGTCATCCCCTTGTTCCTCATTCAAGCAGGTTGTCATTCCATGTCAGCATTAACTTGTGAGGAACTTCTCTGGCTCCAGTGCATGGTGTGCTTGGCATCACACAGAGCCAACACATGCAGCACCTGGTTTCAGGGTCTGGAATTTGCTGTCTGCTGGTGTCTGTCTCTCAGACTTCTCTGCTATGCCAAGAGTTGGGAGCTGTTGCTTTATCCTGCATGTTTACATCTAAACTTCCTAAGGTCTACCAAGCTCTCAGCATCCCACATGTTGAATGACAAAGGGCTTTAGGCCTTGTTTTGGAAGAACTTAAATAGCAGCAAGTGGCCCTGGGGCAAATCCTTGTAAGGAGTAAAAGTCCTTTTTCCTGAATTTGCTCATTCCCTTGTGTGCAGTTCAGGATGTTCTGCCCCTGGTTTTGCTCTGTAGAGAAGCTCTGAAGTTCCTTGTCATGTTGGGTCTTTCCCAAAGTAGCTGCACTGATGGGGAAAACCAGCCAGGTGTGTGAGAACTGTGTGGTGGGAATCTCTTTGGGACCCTTGTTGGGAGGTGACTGTCCAGGTTCTCTCTGCCAAAACCGTTAGGAATGTACAGATGTAAATTAGAGCTCTTTGTTCCTGTCAGGACTTAATCATGGCTGGTAGCAGGCAGTGTAATTATATGAGTCTTCAATTACTGCAGCATCCAGCATCAGCTCAACTGATCCTGTTTTTCTCTTTTCTAGAGGCAGAAGAAACTCTGCTGATTGATATAGCTACAAACAGTAAGTTTCATAAGGGTGGTGGTGTAGCTAAAGGTCCTGTCATGGAACAGCCACTGGTGCTTGTTTTGCCTTCCAGTCTTTCCCCAGGCTCTGTGTTTGTCCTCTGCTCAAACAGGGATTGTTTTCCCTCTGACATTGTCATCTGGCTCTGTGAGACACTCGCTTGTCATGACAGACAAGGTTTGAAATGCAAATGGTCAAAATGTTTGCAGTTTTTCTTCCTGCTTTTAGAGCTCTTCTCTGCAAAATTGCAGTAGGGAGGATTCCTAAAGCCAGGAGAATGTGCTGGGGATACCCCAAGCAGGGTGGGGGGACCTCAGAAGTGCAGGGGGGGTAACTTAGATGCAGGTTTCCATCACAAACAGCACCTGGAAGCTGAGTAGGAAGCCTGGGGGCTCTGAGGCAGCCTGGGCTGACTCAGTGAGTGTGTTTGAAGCAGGCTGCAAGGTCCGGATCCAGGGTGACGAGGCGCCGGAGCGGCTCTTTGAGATCCCTGACGAGGAGCGCTGCTTGGGATTCCTGTCAGAAGTGCAGAGCATACAGGAAGGTGAGCAGAGTATCCCCTGTGCATGTGAAATCCTCTGCCAGCAGTTTCTGACAGGAATGGATTTTTTTCCAGCCCACCTGAAAGCATCTCTTCCTGAACCTAAGGACTCAGCCATTTGGCATCAGGTGGAGAAGAGCCTCACAGGTCTGTCTCCAGGTACAGTTGGCTTTGCTCTGGGGCCTGTGCAGTGCTGGGGTGCCAAGGGTGGGATCTGGGTCTGGCCATGCTTCCTTGTTTGTTAATTCCTTCCTGAGTGCTATTTTCACCCTTGGTTTGTGCATGTTGGGCTTCTTCCTGCCTTGCCTTGTGGTTAGTGCGCCTTTCTCCCATTTCCAGGGTCAACAGTTGATGTATTCCTACTCTCATTTGGTTTTTTGCTTTCTGTGGAGTTACATTTTTTCCTTCTTGATCTGAGCTGTTTCAGATTGTTTCTCAGGGTGTTTTTCTTGGATTTTTCATTACAGGAGCTCTGGGGTTTGAGGATGACTTCAACACTCTGAGCCTAGAAGAAAAAAGAAACATGCAAAACCACCAGACGGGATCTCGACGGGAACCCCCACCTCCTCCTGTCCCTCAGAATAAGCAGTAAGGGATCTGTTCCCTTTTTTACTTTTCTTCCTAGACAGCAGAACTAGTTCTAGTGCTGCTCTTGCTTTTTTCTTAGATTTCACCGGGAGAGAGAAGGCACATCCAGAGACCAGCCCAAGGTGACCAACACGATGCGCAAGATCTTTTTGCCCAGCACACAGTCGGGTCAGAGAGAGGGGCTCATCAAACATGTGCTGGCCAAGAGGGAGAAGGCCTACATCAACCTGCACAACTTCAGGTGAGACCTGGGAGGGAAGGACAGAGCTGCAGGATCTCCCCTCTGAGCTTGGATCTCACCCAGGATTGGACCCTGGTAGCTGGTGAGGGGTTGTAGCTCAAGTGGCCAGTGAGGATGGTACAGCCCAAAAGTCTCATGTCCGTGGGACAGCTGCTCCTTTTGTCTTCTCTCTGTGTATGTCAGATGTCCTGAGCCTTGGTAAGGCTGGGGCAGCTGGGCAGAAAGGGTGAAGACTGAGGTCCCACCATAGTGTCGTGGTGTTGCCCCTCGTGACATGATGCTCAAAGAGCCAGATGTTTGCTGATGGAATGCCTTGCTCAGGGGACTTGTCACTGGGAGTGAGCCAAGCCTGGGAGAAATTTCAAGGAGCGACTGAGGGATCAGGGAAGCCTCAGCCTGGAGAAGAGGAGGCTCAGGGGGACCTTCTGGCTCTCCCCAGCTCCCTGACAGGAGGGGACAGCCAGGGGGGTTGGGCTCTGCTCCCAGAGTACAAGAGAAAATGGCCTCAAACTGCTGCAGGAAAGGTTCAGGTTGGACAACAGGAGGAATTTCTTCACGGAAGGGGTGGTCAGGCATTGGAAGGGGCTGCACAGGGAGGAGTCCCCATCTCTGGAGGTGTGCAAGGAACACCTGCATGTGGCACTCAGTGCTCTGAGCTGGGTGACAGGGTGGGGATTGGGCACAGGTTGGACTCGGTGATCCTAGAGGTCTTTTCCAACCTCAGTGATTCTGTGACTTTCAGTTCTCCCATGGCAGTCATTGCCCCATGCAGGGACAGCTCACAGTGTGTGCTTCCAGTCAGAACACTGCTGTGCTGCTGTGATTTTCTTGGTGTTTCTAACAGCTCAGCTGCTTTTGTGTTGTAGGTTCTTTGTGGGAACCTGGAATGTGAATGGGCAGTCTCCTGACAGCTACTTGACCCCATGGCTGGTGTATGACGTGGAGCCCCCGGATTTCTACTGCATCGGGTGAGCAGCTGTGGGGGGATCCAGGAGGGCTGGGCTGGGTTTAGGTTCCTGTTGTGCTCTCAGAGGCTGTACAGAGCTGAGCTGTGTCACACAGGGGCCGTCTGGGGGAAAAAAGCCATTGGATGAGGCAGAGGATCAGGTTGAACAAAGCTAGCATGACATAATAGATTTTCCTGAAGAGCTGGAAATACAGATTTTATATGCAGAGCTCACTCGTTGTCCTCTGCCTAAAGTGGTGTTTCTCAGGGAAAGGGCTGCTGGGGGGTTTGGGGTAGGATCTCAAAGGCACTATGGGGGAATTCTACTGCTTTATTTAGCAAGTGGCCATAAGGAGCTGTTCCTCCAAGGGCTGTTGCTGGAGGTTTCACATTTCTGTAGGAAGAGGGGGATGTGCAGGAAGGCTGGAGGTGCAAAGCTCTTGGGTTTCCAGGTTCCAGGAACTGGACCTCAGCACGGAGGCTTTTTTCTACTTGGATTCTACAAAGGAGCAGGAGTGGCTGTCTGCTGTGGAGAGGTCCCTGCACCCTAAGGCCAAATACAAGAAAGTGAGTTCTGCACAGTGGTATGGGGGCTTGTCACGGAGCTGGCATGATGGGAAGGAAAAAGGAAAAGGGCTGCCCTTTTCCTCCCTGTTCAAGGAGCAAGGCTTGGAGAAACCGAGGGTGGTACTGGGCATGTGCATGCCTGGGCATGTGTCAAGTGTGTCAAGTTA